ATGGATGGATGGATGGATGGATGATGGATGGATGATGGATGGATGGATGGATGGATGGATGGATGGATGGATGGATGGATGGATGCTTTTCATATACCTCCTCCAGGGGAGTGATGGAGGAGCTCTCCCCACCATAGTAGGGGTTCCTGTCCATGTGGAGGACCTTTTTCCCATTCACAGACATGATGCCGGACAGAATGCATTCCTGCCAAAAACAAGACACGCACACAAAACCACCATTAGACTTTCTAATTGTTAACACCAACATATTAAATAAAGACTAAAGAAAAGGCAGTTTCTGTGAAATTGCAGTGGGAATGCTGAAATTTGTTGAAGACGCTATGACTGAAATGTTAAAGCTTTAAAAAAAGCACTAGCTAAAAGCTAATCAATGAAAAATGTTTGCTAAAAGATAAAAATGACAGAATACCAGCTAAAATCTAAAAGTAGCAGTTATCTAAAACCTATTATATTATTAAGTTATAAAAAGACCAACTAAAAGTTAAAACAGAAAAAAATTCAAGCTAAAAGTTAAATGTATCAAAAGACTAACAAGGTAAATAGAGGCAGCTAAATGGAGAACAGTAGCTAAAAGGAGCAAAATGCTGTCTGAAATGTAAAAATAGCAGAACATTAGCACTAAATACAAAGTACTTGTCAAAAAATTAAAGTATGGTGTGAAAATATGTATAAAAATGTTAACTATTGTGAGAAGTGTAAAAGTTACAAGTAAAACAACGTCACAGTATCTTCAGGTGATGCTGAACATTTTCATACGTTGATGACTAACAGAACAAAGTATGTCAGAGTAAAAAATACACAGAAAAATAAAAAAACCAACAAACAAGAGTATGAATAATGAAGAATAATAAGCTGTCACACAAAAAGAAGTTTCCTTTTACAGATTTAACAGAAAATACATGAAATAATTTCTACAATCTATAATATTTGATTTCTTTGTTTGTCTCTTCTCTGAGCAGCCTTTAGCAGTTTCAGACAGAAAATGAAAATAGTAACTGGGCTTTGACAGGGACTGGAGAGGCGCTGTACGCATGCGCAAAACCAAGTCCACGCAATAATAATAACAACAATAATAATACCAACAACAATAACAACAACAATAATAATAATAAAGGAGAATAACTGACATAGGGGTGTTTGATAGCACAGTGTTGAATCCTCCATTAATGGCTGCGAACAGAACCATTCTTCCCATTATTCGGACCTAAAACATTCCTGGCGCAGTTCTGCCGCACTGGGTGCGTTTAAAGAGCCGTGAATAAAAACCGTGCAAAGGCCTGCACCACCCTCACGATGGAGGCCTATATGTGTGTGCGCGCGCGTGTATGTGCGCGCGCGCAAAAAGACCATGGCACAGTGAGGGGTTACGCCTAAAAGATGCTGGAGGGTGTAACTGAACACTTAGGCGGCTGCGTAGAGGAAACAGGCACCACTTTCTGGAGACCTGTGCTGTTTTATAACAAATAATAAAATTACTGCGATTCTTTTTATTCCCAGAACCCGTTTTGTTGTTGTATTTTTCTAATCTAATAAATAGCAAGCGAACGCAGAAAGCGCTGAGTGTTGAGAGGCGACCTGTCGTGTGAAATGTGCAGCTGGAAGTTCCCACAGCCTCCTCTGGACGCAGCTGGACTACTTACCGTGAGCCCGGTGCCCAGCACGATCACATCATATTCCTCATCCATGGTGGAGCGGCGCCTCTCCCGTCTCCTTCTCTCTTTTTGACAAATGGAGGGCGCTGAAGGAAAGAACGCCGGTGAGACTGAGCGCAGGGATGAAGTCTGGTCCCGGTCTCAAGGCAGCTGCTTTAAACGGCGCTTTGATGTGAAATGATCTCTTCTGACCATCAGGCTTTAATGACTAATGGGAAATATCGCCCAAACCGTCACCGGCGAGGACGACCAAAGATGGCCCTGACCATGGAGCACTCTAGAACAATGTCCCTGCGCGTCGGAAACTAGTCCGCATCCTGTTCTCTGCCCTCACAGCGCAGTGGATCAAGAGCTGCCTAACGCGCGCTATGATCAGACTTTAACGATCACTTTATGTTTACTCTATATTTAGATGTGGACATGAACGCTGGTGTCGGGACTTTCAGTTTGAGCAAAGTGTGTGCCACTTCTTTCCATCCTCTCCTCCGCTTGTGCACGCGCAGCCTTGCGTGAACGCAGGCAGCAGTATCCCTCCGCTGCAGCTGTGTGGATGGAGCTGCCTTCACCCGCAGAAAGCATGCGGGCATTTGAGTTTCCAAAAGTAAACACTTTTCTTGTACTGTATAATACAGTAACATGTGACGTGACAAACAGTGTAAAACACAAAGTAAACAAAAGAATACAGTCTGTATTCTTTTGTTTACTTTGTGTTTTACACTGTTTGTCACGTCACATGTAAATATAATATTATTGTAAACAATGACACGGGTAGTGAAACGTCAGCACCATGGACAGCTGCCAGGTGTTCCCTCACTCTTTAAGAACGCGCACAGTTAATTACGTGCATGTTTAATAGGACATCTTACAGGACAGCCGTAAGAAGCACGTAGTCCTGAGATGTGTTGTTTGTTGATGTTTTAGAAGAGTTAGCTGTACGGTGGACAGGTGGGCAGTAGTCCTTGAGCTTATTTCCACAAAGGTTTAATAGTTTCTACGTGTTTTATGGCAAAGGGAGTAATAAAAAGTGGAAGCAGCAGCGCACGCAGGTCGGATGAAAGAAAGCAGGAAGTCGCTCGTGACTGCGCACATGACTGTCAGCAGCTCCGGGTCACGTGATCCGAGCTTTGCGGAACAGCTCGAAGCAAAATGGCTGGAAGAACGCGCCTCGGTCGGAGAGGATTACTGACTTTTGCTTTGTTTTTCGCCTCCTGCTTGGCTTCGGGGAGCACCACAGCACAAGTTCCACTCCTCATGTGGTCTAGTAACAGGTAGGGTTTAACTTTTATTTTGTTACGAAACAATGCTTGCTGCTACAGCTAAGCTGTGTTCGATGCTAACGCTAACATTCTTGTTTTGAAAACAGGAAATGTGAAAACTTATTGTATGAACTGGTTTATTCAGAGAAACAACTGTACTGTGTTCATGTAGTTACTGTAATAATGCTTTACACTTGTCTGAATAGTTTTGGTATACTGTATTCACCAGTGCTGTGGGGAATATTTGCTTTATTAATTGTTACTAAATCTAAAGGAGTCAGTAACTTTGTATGCTTGTTAATAAATGGTGACAACAGGAAGTGATGCTAGGACTGTACTGACACTTTGAAACGTGTAGGATAATAAGAACAACACTGCTTTGTTGTTACATGTGAAGTTTACCAGTCGAGCCTCCACCCACGGCTGGTCACATCACATCCATTGAGGAGCTGGCGCTCTACCTCACCTCAGCCTTTGGCTCTGGCTCACACACTGTGCTCCTGTTCCTGCAGGACAAGGTCAGTGCACGGCACAGGAAAACTGCATTGTTTCCCTCAGTACAGGTCCGGCCGTCATGGTGAATCATGAGGAGAAGCAGAAGTCCTGCTCAGACTGCTCATTGTGGCGTGATAGTGAGCTTTCATGTACTTCCTACAGTGCATGTTGTTCAAAGCTTTTGTCTGTAGTTAAAATTACTATAACTGATTTATGGTGTTTATTTTATGGTTTACAAAAGGTAGAGTTATTCTTTCTTTAATTATTTGCTCAGCTAAGCAAAGATGACTTTACCATGTTTGGAGGAGTGTTTGGAAACAAGCAGGAAAGCAACTTTAAAAACCTTGAGGTTGGTTTTATAGAAGTAATTATAAGCTAATTTGCCAAAAATATAGGTAAGTAAGCGTGTTAACTCTTTTCATTCACTGTTTTTCAGGCTGTGATGCAGTCTTCATCGTCAGTGACGCTTCCTGCCCTGGAGTGGGCTGGCCCCTCTGCTGTCACCTCTCTGCTGCAGGAGAAGCTTGGTGCTTCACCTCTGCTTGTTGATGCAGAGACACGGTCCCACCCGAGCCTTGCCACATCTGCCAACAATCTACTGCTCATCAATCTGCCTTATTGCAGCAAGTGAGGGTTTCTTAAGTTTCTTTCAGTTATGTATTCTGAATGAGAAGTTTTGGCATCTTTAACGTTTCCTTGTTTTTTCATAGCTCACCTAAATCATGCAAGGAAGTCCTAAATCATAACGGTAAAATGTTCACCTAAGTATTTTTGCTGGTGTATATTTGTAATCAGCTGCGTCACACTGTATACCGGTACATATTTCTAATAATAGAATTCTGGACTATTTTGTTGTCATCAGATAAGATTATTGGAAAATTTGTGGGTTTCTTGAAAGCCAGAGATGTTCCATACACTGCAATATACACAGGACTCCAGCCGTCAAGAGTAAGAGCTCATCATGTTTATATAATTAGCATAAAGATTTAAAGCTCAAAAACACACTGGGTACTTAACTAAAAGTTAATGAGGACATAAATGACTTGTTTTACTTTGCAGGTGATTTCAGAAACATCTGTGTCGAAAGAGCAAGTGGGCCGTTCCTTACTACAAACTGCTGCCCCTGATGTCAAGCCACCCATAGTGTTTCTCAATGCATCACAAAGCCCGTGCATAATGCTGTGGGCTCAGAACCTCAGTGTCAGCCTCTCACGCACTTCAACGTGGATTGACTTAAATGCAGAAACCCCTGACTTGACAGGATCCATGTGCAACGGTGACAATTCACTGTAGGTTGGCTTTTTCCTGACAGCTGTCAATAAAGGTTTATGTAGTTGTTTTTCAAAGGGAGAATTTAAACTAATTTATATTTTGCTTTTTCCTTCACATTAGGCTTGTGCTTACTTATTCATCCGGTTACAAACTGAGGTAAGACCATTTCATTATTATAACTCCTTTCACGCACGCCCAGACACAAGCGGTTTCCTCAAACTGATGAATTTATTAAGATTCAGTACGTGAAAACTAAAGAAGATGCACAAAATAAAACAATGAACTCGCAAGAAAAATAAACAAATATTAATATCAAACGCTTGTACACTCAAAATAAAACAAAATACAGAAATAAAACATACCTCGTTGTCTGTGTGTTGCCAAAAGGAATTAGGCGTGTTTCTTGGGTTTCAGCTTCTTTGAACTCTTCTTGAATTTAAAAGTCCGTGCTTACTTGCTGATACTCACTCATTGCTCCGGACGGACTTCTTCTGGTTACTTTTCACACCTGAATACAGCGCCAACTACAGGTGGCATGTAAAACTACATATAATTAGACCGTACAAGCTTTGAATGTGAACATAAAATAAACTGGCAGTTACAAGTCTAGAAGAAACAGTCTCCACATTTTGCAACATCCAGTATTGTGAGAAAAAAAACTTCCTTCATTCTTTTTTTCTTCCAATGAGCTGCACTGTCTTGTAGTTACTTAAAAATGTTTTGACCTGTACTTCTCCAGGTTTTCAGAAGGACTTTAAATTATTTGGACATTTGGAGTAAGTAAAAACAGCAGCAGAGTGAAGAAGTGTGGTCAGTTTGTCCTCCAGCAGTCTAAGCCTATAGCAGCGTGACTAAGGGACAGCTCAGGAAACCCAAGCCGACCCTAACTATAGGATTTATCAAAAAGGAAAGTCTTAAGTCCAGTCTTAAAACTGAACAGTGTGTCAGCCTCACGGACACAAACTGGAAGTCAAGGCACATTTATTTATACAGCACATTTAAAACAGTAACTGTTCTCAAAGTGCTTACCAAAAAGATCACAGCATCAAATATTCATAACAACATATCACAGCAACATGAATAAAAGCATAAAAACATGAAATATAATGAGAAACGATGAAATACTAAATCAAATCACCCTGCGTTAAATGTCGGGGAGTAAAAGCAAAATGGATGAACACAGTCATCAACAACGAAATACCAAATGAGATCACAATGTGTTAAAGGCAGGAACCAGGAAGTTGTTCCACAAGAGAGGAGCCTGACAACTGAAAGATCTTCCTCCATTCTGCTTTTGGAGACTCTAGGAACCACAAGGAAACCTGCAGTCTGAGAGCAAAGTGCTCTGTTAGTAAAATATGGAACAATGAGATCTGTAATATCAGCTGTGGTTTATGAACCATTGGTCTGAGCAGCCATTTCATTGTAAATGAGAACTGGTTCTTCATGGACCCACCTGGAACAGCAACATGTTGGTCGTTCAGAGAACATCAAGAACGGTCAGCATTTTCTGTTTTATTTTGAAAAGCATAAAGATTTTGGCAAGTCATGGATGACATAATAATAATGGTGTTAAATTCAAAGCAGGGCTGCTCCTCTGATAAATAGTGTTAACTTAATATTTGATCTATATGAACGTTTCTTTCAGCGCCCTGAGACGACTTCTGTTGTGACTTGGCATTATGTAAATAAACTGAATTAACTTGAATTGTTAAATAGGAGGCATAATGTGACATTTTAGTTTTTAATGTTGTTTCATTAGATATCACAACTTTTATTGCAAGAAAATAAATCTGGAAATGTTATTTCTATGAATTACACTTTTGGGTTCCGTTTATTGCATTTATACTTCACTACAGCAAAATAAACATAATTAAATCGTTGTAATTCGTGGTCTATTTACATAATGACTTTAATTGGGGAGTGGTGGTGCAGAGGTTGGAGAAGGTGGGCCTGTGATCGGAAGGTCGCCGGTTCATGCCCCGGTACCAACAACATCAAAAATGTGGGTGGGGTAGGTGAAGCACCCACACTTGCCCCCACCCTCATTCGCCCCACTCTGGGCCCATGAGCAAGGCCCTTAACCCCCATCTGCTCCCAAACAGGCCCCTTGAAAATGAGTTGGCTCAGTGAGAGTACCTGTATAAATAAAGGGTCAATGGAAAGAAGTGCTGGGGGTCCGGCCCCTGAGCTGCTGGTTCCAGTAACTACGGCTCCCCGAGTAGTTTACTGGAACAGCCCTTTGTAAAGGGCTCTGGTAAAATATGAGCAGGACAACATAAGATGTGTAAAGGCTAAGAACTATTTACTGTAGATTAACAGTTCCTGCAAATCTTCTCCTTAAGGAACAAGTGAAGGACCTGAAACAGGGATTGAGACTTGTATTGTTGTTCATTTGTTAAATCTACAGTGATCACACTTTTCTAGTCGTTGCTCCTATTCGTTGGAAGAGCTCACAGACTCTTGCTACTTGTGCTCAAGAGTCATCTTTTTTCTTTGGCATTTGACTCTGGCAGAGTTTGAGATTCAGTTAGAGCTGATGGTTTTACTTTAGCTTAGTTTTAGTGGAAGAATGATTGCCACAAATCCATTACTGAGGAAAGAAAACGGAAACATACTGTAAATTACACGAAAACTAGATCGTATTCTATTATTTAGTTTTATTTAATTTGTACAACGGTCCTTTAAGGAGTAACAATTCCAAATTCAGTGTTTTCAGTTAAAATTGACATCAAAATGTGTTGATTCTGGGAGTAAGGCTCAACAGTGAAAGCCTGCAGTCATCTGTAAAACACGTCAGAAGTTGTGTCATGGTTTGGAGATTGTAAAAACAGATTAGATTAGGAGCGCAGAAAGGTACCACAAGATTTTCTTCTTAAACTGCTGAATACTATTACCAACATTTCTTTATAACTAGACACAAGAACAAACACAGAAGTGGAAGTTAAAGCAGCACGAGCGCCCCCTGTTGGTTGACTGCAGAATGGGTTTGATGCTGTGTAAACAAGACACTTCGCCTGATTAGACAATAAAAATACACCTCAGTCATTTTTTTCCAGGTGTTCTCTTGATTTACGTAGTTCTTGCCTTCCCTTTGTTTCTTCAAATATTTATTTATCTAATACAGTTGCAGTCAGTCAGTGCTTAAAAACACCACCACTGTGTGTGGGGAAGTGGGCGGGGCTTCTGCCCCACATCCTAAGTGCACAAACTGGCTCCAAACATACGACGTGGCAGAACCCAGAAACTGGATATTATGCCTTCAGTTTTGAACTACGAAAAAGGCATTATAGTACCTTAATTATATTTAACAAAAAACCTTTTCCACATCCAATAATTTTACATCATGCAGGTAACAAAACTGCAGCGATGCACATATAAACCTAGTAATTTACAGTCAATGTACGGATGTTTTTAGTGTTCCAAGTGAATATCACCTTTATGCACTTGGTTAAACACATTGTTGAATTTGTTGCTAAAATATTTTTAGATGTGCTTTAAAGTAGATTGTGTTAGTTTAGAACAGAGTGTAGTTGACACCCTTTTGTAGTCACCTCAGTCAGATAATAGGTTTTTATCATGTTAGAAACTATTTCTTTGTAGAACTGAATTACTAAGCTAGTTTCCCTCGTTTGATCTGCAGTTTTGCCATGAGTCGGCAGTTCTATCCAGTGTCTGCACGTTACTGGTTCACCCTGGACTCTGTGCAGCTGCAGGTAAATGGTACAACTGGTTCCTTCATTGGGAGGGGCGGCGTCTACGCCCCTGCAGAGTACTCCTTCCATTGCCAGTCTGTGAAAAGCTTCCCAAATGCTCTGCTAATTCCAAACGCCACCACCGAGGAGACGGCACAGTGGAGACTTAACTTTACTGACTTCCAGGTAAAGCTGTACTTTACTCCTACAGCATAGTATCAAGTACTGCTTTGAATAAACCGTGTACCTTTGGTATTATTCCTGTATTTTGTTGTTTCTCATGCAGATTCAGGGCTTTGGTTTGGCCAAAGGAACAAACTTCTCCTATGCCAGTGATTGTGCAGGCTTCTTCACGCCAGGGATTTGGATGGGCCTGCTCACCTCGCTGCTCATGCTGCTCATTTTTGTGTATGGCTTACATATGATAATGCAACTAAACACCATGGATCGCTTCGACGACCCCAAAGGTCCGTCCATTTCAGTGCCTCAGTCAGAGTGAAGCACTCCCAACGTACGAATCCCACTCTCCGGTGTCTCGAGTGCCTTCTGAACCCTTTGTGCATTGGATGTGCTGCTTTTATTTTCTGCACACACTGTTTTGATTGGTATTCTTAGGTGCTGGTCATTTCTATGGCGCATTCCTTATTTTTCTATTTATACTTGCATGCCAAAGTTGCTGCAACTTTTAAAATTTGATTTTGAAACCAGTGGTGTAAGGTGTTGCCAGCTAATGTTTTCCATAGAAACAGCTGTTAGCAGTGAAAGTGACTGCTGTGGCTGCTGTAGACCGCAGTTTTTGTTTGATTATTCCCAACATAATTAATTTAAAGAGTATTATTAATGAAAGAAGTGCCTGTACATAATAGTTCGTTTGAGATGGTTGCCTTACAGAAGAACATGGTTAATTTTGTTTTATCACTTGAACTGTAATTTATTTGTATAAAAAACGGTGCCTGTCACTTTACCCATAATCCAGTGACCATTTATCACTTTGGCCAAAAACGAAAATGTGCAGTTGCCATGTCATGTACAAGAGACTCTATTGGAAATAAAGATATAATTACTTCATGGATTTGATGAAGAGTTGTATTTTAAATGAGGTTATTATTTTCACTGAGCGAACAGTTTCCTGCTCAGCAGGTCCCAACAGCGCAGAAGCTCCAAATATTCCACCGTTATTAAACCCTCAGTAAACCATCCGTCCATGATCTGCTTGTTCTGACGGAGGGAATGCATGACGCCACAGTTTGAGATAAAGTTCATCTTGTGATGAGAAACTGGACCGTTAGCCATTTTGTTCTGAACATAAATTAGTGTACTCGTGTGTGACGACACTGTTGGGAACGACTCTCAGCTACTCCCACATCAGATCGAGCTCAGCACTGCTGTTTGTGTAGCCTGCTAGCTGTGGCAGCCATTTTGAATTGGATCATAAGGTTCATCAGTTTTGATTTACATCCAGTTATTATTTTCTGGGGGAGGCGCAGTTGGTGGAGCTGCTGCCTCTCAGTGAGAAGGTTGCTGGATCGAATCCCGGCCAGTGAACGTTCTGGGTGGAGGCTGCATGTTCTCTCCGTGCATGCGTGGGTTTCCAAAAACGTGCATGTCAGGTGTGAGTGAGCGTGAACGTGACAACACACTGGTGCAGGATCTGGACCACACCCCAAACCATTCACACCAGGATTCTGACTGCTACCGCAGTGGATTCTGGGAGAGGATGCATTTGAGGTGGAGGACTACACCCGAGCACCTCCAGTACGAAGCTGGGTGGTGGGGCGCATGCAGCTGCGCACGAGGAGAGGATGAGTTGACTGTTGGAAAAGCTCTGGTCCTGGTGCAGCAGCTGTTGGAGCTCTTCTACCTGTCTGGACTCAGCCATCACTCTTCAACACATCTGACTGCGAGTGAAGCACGTTGGAAGCTTTTTTGGAAGTTTTGGTCTTTTGAAATTGTCAGTCGTGCTCTCTGGATTTATTTATTTATTTGTTTATTTATTTATTTATTTATCAATAGCACTTATTGCCTGAAGCTGCAACAAACGACATATTAAGTCTATCATCCTAACTTTGGGTTGGTTTGGTTGCATGTTTGCAAAAGATTCTGATAGCTGAGATGACTGTAGTGTATCGTTTGGCAGAACCTGATGTCATTTCCGGAGCACGCGCCCTTGGTGCGGCGCTCGGTTGCCATAGTTACGGACGGTCACCAACAGCGACCGTCACCAAACGAAGCTCACCGTTCCGTCCCGCTCAGTCTCTGCGACAGGTTTTTCTCCAAAATGTCAGCAGTTCGTCCTCGAGTGATATTTAGCAGTTCACAGGAAATGAGACTTTTCCCGCAACCGGGAAACCACGAGAACGCGCCACATCTGGGCCCTGGCTGCTATGACAACCATAAGGTCTGTCCAGATGTAAGACCACTGGTTTTATGAAGAAATGTCATGTTTAACATTTCTGTTCACAAACTGTTGTGTTGGCCATGTGATAAATGACCAACTTAATTTCTGTCCTTTGTTTTCCACAGATCGGCACCATCATTTATGAATTAGAAAAGAAACCTGAAAGTAGGCGAGGATACGGCCTCTCTGCTAGGACTGCTGCCCGCTTTCCACCTTGTACCCAAGTATGTTACATAATGTGCCTCAAAGGAGTTCAACTGGGTTTCTTTTTCAGAAACAGATCCTGTCTAACCCTGAATGTTAGGAAACACCTTGTATCTGTGACCTTCCTTCCCTCCATTGATCACGGTGACATTATTTACATGAACGCTCCTACAAGAACCCTGAAGATGTTGGATGCTGCAGATGTTGGATGCTGCAGATGTTGGATGTTGTCTATCATGGTGCACTAAGATTCATAACTGGCTGTAACTACCGTACCCACCACTGCACCCAGTATGCACTGGTTAACTGGTCACCATTAACTTCACGCAGACTCTCACTGGTACATTTTCATCTTTAAATCACTTCTTGGTCTGCTGCCTTCATACATCTCCTCCTACATGTCTCTGCGTGAGTGCAGCTACAGCGTGCACTCTCAGGACATTATTACCTGCAGTGTCCCCTCAGTGAGGACTGAACTAGACAAAAGGACCTTCTCCTACTCCGCTCCTGTTTCCTGGAATATCTTGTAAAAAGATCTGAAGCTCTCGACCTTGACCTCTCTAAGTGTCTTCAAACATCTGTTAAGTTCCTGGCAACAACCAGTGCAGACATGTTCTGGTTTTAGTTTTCTACACCTCCTTATAATCTAGCTGTTTTTCAGTTTGTTTTTTCACTACCTTTCCTTTTGACTGTCCTTTTGGTTGCCATTTTGTTTTGATTTGTTAAAAGAAAAAGTATGCCTGTTTTGTGATTGTGTATTGTTGTCGTTGTTACTCTCTGTTGTCTTCACTCTTTGTTAAATCAGGTCTCTCTTGTGAATGAGTCCCGGAGGCTCAATGGGATTAACCTGCAGAAATAAAGGTTGAACGAGTTCTTCATTCATGAAAGCATTAAAAGTTCAGTCTGCCCAAAATTAACTTCAGTTTTGTATAACTGTGACTACATTTTGAACGGTGCAAGAAAGAGAACCAAGAACAATAAGAAATGTTTAAACTGTTAGCAGAGGCTCATTAGTGTCACCATGGTTACCATGGTGTCTGTCACTCCCTGAGTAAGAGCCACACAGAAACAAGGTGAAACTCAAGACTCAGTTGATTTTAGACGTCTGTGACAACTATCAGTTAAAAATTCATCCATTTATTAAATGTACCCTTCTTCCTTTGGGTCGCAGGGGTCACTGGTGCCCATGTTCAGCAATCACTGTGAGAGAGAGATCAGGGACACCCTGGACAGGTCTCCAGTCCATCACAGGGACACAAACAACCATTCACTCTCTCTCACCTATAGGGACAATTTAGAGTTACCAATCGGACTAACATGCATGTTTTGGTTTGTGGGAGGAAACTCTCAGAGAAATGTGGAATTAGTTCTCTGCATTTAACCCATCACACGTGACACCCAGGTGGAGCGGGCAGCTGTGTAGGCGCCCGGGGAGAAATTAGGTGTCTTGTTTAGGGACATCATGACATGTGAGCATGGCAGGAAGTTTAACCTGCAACTTTCTGGTCCCAAGTCAGCAGCCCTAGTACCATCTTCCACATCTATTCATTCATTCAACCTTTATTTCTGCAGGTTAGTCCCATTGAGCCTCGGTGACTCATTTACAAGAGAGACCTGGTTTCAACAAAGAATGATGACAAAGACAGTCATTAAGGATGCGTACAAATTTTATTTTTTAAACAAGTGAAAATAAAATGGTATTTAAAAGGAAAAGTAGTAAAAAAAAAAACAGCTAGGTTGTGGGGCAGTGTAAAATACTAAAAACAGGAACATGTGTGCACTGGTTCTTGCCAGGAATCTAGCAAGATGTTTGAAGCCACTTAGAGGTCAATTCAGATCTTTTAACAAGATGTTCCAGGAAACAGGAGTGGAGCAGGAGGTCCTTTTGTCTAGTTCAGTCCTCACTGAGGGAACACTGCAGGTACCATCTGTAGTCATGAGGTGTGGATCAAGACCAAAAGAACAAGATCCCAAACACAAGAAGATCAAACCAGCTTCCTCTGCAGTGTGCCCAGGCTCAGCCTTCAGCCCTTCTCCACCTAAGCTGTAAAATGTCCACCTAGCAGGCTGGTACAAAACGTGTAATCGATGACATGCTCGTAAGAAAGAGTTAAGATAGAGTGAGGAGTTTTATCATCCGACGGCAGCTCAGAGCCGCCGCTCCTCCCCATTTAAAGGAATCAGCTGAGATAGTTTGGGCATGTGATTAGGATGTCTCCTGGATGTTTCCTTCTGGACCATTTTCCAGTCCCATCCCACTGGGAGGAGATCCCAGGGCAGACCCAGAACTTGCTGAGGGATTACACAGCATCACCTCTGACCTGGGAGAGCCTCCCCAGGAGGAGCCGGAGCGCTCTTTGACTCGACCAGATGTCTGGGTACAGACTCATTTCCTAGAATCATCTCAGTTAGTAGCTCGTGACTTTAAAGTCCTTTTTTATTAGAGGTTTTAGATTTGTTTAAATAATTTTCTTCTTTCACAGGAAAGGGTTAGGTAAGGTATAACTGCACTATATATTTTTTATTTAAGTCTTCACCTTGCAAATTAGATTTGAGTCCTATTTGTTCATTTTTTAACTTTATGAAAGTAAATTCTAAGTTATTAAAAAAACATCAATTGTAACCCAATAATTCTCAGTCAGGTCTTCTGGACAGTTTCATTTTTGTGGAGACGTTTCGCCCTCTAACCAGAGGGCTTCATCAGTCAGAGGAATTCAAAAAAGCGTTCAATACAAAAACAACTGGACTTTATTGGTGACAGAAGACGTTTCGCTCCTCATCCGAGGAGCTTTCTCAATTCAAAATCCAAGCCAAGGAAATGGAAGCGTTCACCAGACACATCAACTCGGTCGATAACATCAAGTTCACCAGAGAGGATGCAAACGACAACAAACTGCCTTTTTTGGACTGTTTGGTTCATATGGAGAGAGAGGACAGCCTCAACATTGAAGTGTACAGAAAACCAACCCACACAGACCAGTATCTTCTGTTTGACTCCCACCATCCACTGGAACACAAACTCTCTGTCATCAGAACTTTACAACATCGGGCCGAACGCGTCCCCACGAAGACAGAAGGGAAGGAAAAGGAACAGAAACATATTCAAGAAGCTCTTCAAACATGTGGATATCCTAACTGGGCTTTTGTCAAGTCAGAGAGGAAATCTACAAAACACACCAATAAACAGAAAAAGGAGAAGAACAGACGTAAAAACATCATCATCCCTTATGTTGCTGGAGTATCAGAGAAATTCAGAAGGATCTTCAACAAACACAAGATCCCAGTACATTTCAAACCCAACAGGACTCTCAGACAGAGGCTGGTCCACCCTAAGGACAAGACACCCATACACAAACAGAGTGGTGTAGTGTATGCGGTCCAGTGCAGCGAGGACTGTCCAGACCTCTACATTGGAGAAACTAAACAGCCTCTTCACAGACGCATGACTCAACACAGGAGAGCCACCTCCTCTGGACAAGATTCAGCTGTTCACCTCCACCTCACAGAGAAGGGACACTCTGTTGAGGACCAAAATGTGCACATTTTGGATCGAGAACACAGATGGTTTGAGAGGGGGGTGAAGGAAGAAATTTATGTAAAAAGAGAAAAGCCGTCTCTTAACAGAGGAGGAGGCCTCAGATTTCCACTTTCAAAAACGTATAATGCAACTTTAAAACAGATTCCCAGCCGGTTTCACACCTGATGGGAACAGAGGGGCCTCGACTGTGAATTAGAGGAACAAAGACTTTAAGAAACCCGAACTGTTAAGGTGTGACTTGTCAATTTATGTGTGTGTGTCTTATCTCACTCAGCCTTAGAACCTGTATCTCTCACTCTCTGCTCTTTGAATTGAGAAAGCTCCTCGGATGAGGAGAGAAACGTCTTCTGTTACAAATAAAGTCCAGTTGTTTTTGTATTGAACGCTTTTTTGAATTCATCATGTCCTGGATGACTGAGAATCTTCACCAGCAAATCAGTCAGAGGAGTTCCAGTAAACTATTTCCCACCAAGCAGTAAACTCCTTAAGTGAACCAACCAGTTTGATGGAGCTAAAGGAGTTTACCATACCATACCACTTTATTTATAGAACACTTAAAACAGCAACAAGGCCAACCAAAGTGCTGTACAGACAGAACAACAGGTAACACACAAAGCAAAATACAAAATGAGGTAAATCAGAATATAGACATAAAAACGATGCAGATAATGACGACAAACCAGTGTGGAGCATACAGGATCAAACACAGATCATCTGGTGTTGAAAGCTACTGAATAGTAGTGAGTTTTTAAATGGGATTTGAAAACCGAGAGGGAGGGGGCCTGTCTGACAAGCAGAGGTAACTCGTTCCAAAGTCTTGGTCCTGCTACAGAGAAGGCCCTGTCACCTCTGCGCTTAAGACGAGTTCCTGGAACTGTGAGGAGCAACTGGTCCGCTGACCTCAGGGAGCGTGGTGGGACATACGGTTGTAGCAGATCAGAGAGATGGGAGTGGGGGGGACACTGTTCAGTGATTTGTAGACATACAGGAGTATTTTGAACTGGATTCGAAAGTGAACCGGTAACCAGTGCAGTGAGGCTAAAAACTGGTGTAATGTGCTCTCTTTTGCCTGTACTGGTTAAAAATCGGGCTGCTGCATTCTGGACCAGTTGTAGTCGTGCAATGGAGGTCTGACTGATACCAAACGGGAGTGAATTGCAGTAATCAAGCCTAGATGTAATGAATGCATGTATTACTGTCTCCAGGTTCTTTTTGGACAATATGGGCTTCAGTTTAGACAGCCGCCTCAGTTGGAAGAAGCATGATTTAACAATCACCAATTACAGCTTGGTGGGAAACAGTTTACTGGAACTCCTCAGACTGATGAAGCCCTCCAGACAGAGGGTGAAACATCTCTATAAAAAAGAAACTGTCCAGATGACCTGACTGAGAATTATTGGATTTGGTACCTGGATGACTGAGCATGAACTTTGTTGCATTCATTGTAATGTGAATCTCCAGGCAGTGACCCCTTCACCGCAGCAGTACCAGCAGGACCACAGCAAGTCCAGAGTCACACCTCCTGGCAAGACACCATTCAGCTCAAGCACACAAAGATTCAGAAGTCCCCGACACACTGCTGCCACCACCCCAGGGTGAGACATGAACACGGCCAGCTCGATGTAATGGTGCTGAACTGACCCCATGCTACTTTATGACTCAGACCTGGTACGTACGACCACGACGTCGAGACAAACAAGAAAGTGAGCTGGCCGATGCGCTTTGGGAGCCCAGACTGGTCCAGACTGGCTCAGCTGGAGAAGTCTGTCCAAGTGAAGGTGAGGAAACCTGCAAACTGAACCTCCATCTTTTGATTTATAGATCCAAACATGAAGGTGCCAAACTTACATATGTGCTATTTAAACCCAACATCACTGAGATGGCGTTTAAACACTAAATGACTGAATACATATTGGAATGTTTTCGCAGTCTTGGAAGGCATATTCTAACTCCACCAGTTGGTGCAGAGACACGAGCTCAGAATGAAGATGTGCCAGTCAGGCTGAGAGATTTCCAGACAGCACGCCTACTGTACAGTACCACTCACTAAAACCCAGTTAAATCAACAGGACCACTGTGGACCTGGGTAAAGGCAATTTTAGAAACAATTGTAAAGTTTTAACAGAAGTTGTGGGAAGTTTTTCCAGAGTTGTCAGTATCTTACCTGCAACATGGAGCCATCACAAAGATCCATATGGGGTAATGGTTTTAAGCTGGGCTCTGCTGTCCACACTGGAACTGTTTTAGGAGCTCCAAGGGTTTTCTTTTGAAAACCAGTTCGAGTAAAAAAATAAAATAAAATGCAATATAGCATTTGTCAGCCTACACTGGAGGAAGATTTCTTTCCTTTTCTCCGTGCTTTATGACCGATGTCATGACTGATGAGGTGTTAACTGTTTGACAAAACATTTCAAAATGACCAGACTATCCTTTTAATTATCCTGCAAAATGTTACACAGCTGCAATTACAAAATTCTAACTTCTCCAACAGGTTTATTCTTGTTCCACCTGACTGAACAGCAGCTCTTCTGTTTTTGTCTGTCCTCCTCAGCTGACCAGTGACAAGCAGCGTGTTAAACAGAGGAGCAGACTGGCCTATCTGAGCTTGTACTTCTATGGCTGACGAATGAAACCATCAACACGCTCACAGAAGAGATTGTTGTCATCTTCTTTTACTGAAGCTTTCTTCATCCAACAAAAAAAGATTGAAAACTGTTGTCAAGTAAAATTTGTTATGTGAGAGTGTAAAAAGTTTTTTATTCACTAAAGCCTCTATGATCTGCATGTTGGGTGTCTTAAGTTTATACAACGCGAGCGCTTGTAGAAAATGTAACAACAAAAACCGTTCTCTTGGTCAGATGTGGGGTGTGATATAAACGTGGGCAGCAGCTCAGGTCCCTCTGCTGCTGATCCCTGCTCCCCCAGCAGGTCTGAGTCCTGGGACACGCCTCTGTGCTGGGCTGGACGTCTGCGAGCACCAACCACTGACACATACGTCAGTCTGATGTGAAGGAGGTCCTGACTCATTTCTTCCTCCTCACTTTGGGTTTCTTGACTGGCCGGAGGTACGGGTTGTCGATCACGTTGTCTTCGCTGGCTTTGGCAGATGGAACGCTGCTGGGATGGAGCATGGAGTTCTCTTTGTCTGCGCTTGGATCGTCCTGGACAACAAAACAAGCGAAAATTATTACCTGTATTTTTTGTGGCTGTAAGTCACAGTTTTTTTGCATAACGTGCATGCGCTGCGACTTACACACCAAAGCGTCTTATTTATGTTCCCCCCATATTTATAAACCAATTTTTGGCTGAGATATGACCGTTTTCATTCATTCTGACGAACACTACCATTTTCAGCCGCTAGATGGCGCTCGAGTAGTTTGGCATGCCACCTTCGTCTAGCTCGCCTGGAGCAACTGTCAAATCAGCTTCATTTCCCTGTGCTGCCCCGGTGAAATGCAGCTGATTTGACAGTTAACAGTACTTTTATTAAGGAAAAGTTCAACTGACACACCTTTGCTATAATTTCGAGCTAAAAAATTATTGTTTTTAAGTGTTAATTTAGTTAAATTCTTGTTAAAATCCTCCCGTGCACACTCCCGCAGCCACCATTTAACAGCAAATCGATTTTTGGCAAAACACCAGCCCACATTTCCGGGTTGACAACGGTGACACATAAGAGATGTGACTTATACGACGAAGCAACGCATTTATGGATTTTTCCACTTTAATAGACATATTTGGACTGATACGACTTACACGGTATGCTGTAACAATTTAAAACATCAAATATTAAAAATGACAATTTATGTTTTTATTTTCTTTCACTAATTGCTTGTAAATTAGTCCAAATAGACTTCCTTCATTCAGTGATCTATTCAGACTGTTTTCAGAGGCTCGTCTGAGTAGACACACAGCCGTCCTAAAACTATATACATATATATATACATATATAGACATATATATGTACATGCATACACACATACATACACACACATATATATATATATATATATACACACACACACATATATATATACACACACACAAACATATATATATATACACACACACACACACACATATATATATATACACACACACACACACACACATATA